TATGTTTACAAATTAGTACAATGAATGTTGAACAGTAGATTCTTGTTGGGGAACCAGTTCAGGGTAATGGAAAACTTCATACAGAGATTTATTTTGAATCAGGGTGCTTTTCCACAGAGAGGAATATCTTGCCAAAATACTGATTTGGGGACTTAACAAGGCTATGAAAAAATGACAGCATAAGGGGGTCCTGATTGTCTTGGAGCTGACAACCCACATGGTGAGACAAAACAAAGCCCTCATTGCTTTGCTTGGTTCCAGGCAACAAGGACAAATTAGAGCGGTCCAAGGACCACACTGCCCACACGACTATCTCACAGACTTGTGCAAAAGCCCTTTGTGACTGAACAAACTCTACCCACTACCCAACTGCAGCTATCCTAGGGAAGGAAAGAAGTGTCACCCAACGTTGGTATCCTTAGCGCACAGGTGATACATTTAGCAAGTGTTTTAGGAGTAAAAACCTTGCTTATATAGTGGAGCCAGATAAACAGGTAAGAAGTACAGTAATTTTCTGAACGTAATTTTAATAACATGACATTCTTCATTTTCTTACATCTAAAATTACACAGTACCTTGTTTTCGCTTATGGACACATGAATTTACACTAGAATTGTGTGTGGATGAATAATTCCATAATTTTCTCCAGGTAGGGGGCAAGAGGATCCAGGAAAGGGAAGCAAAGGCCTGAGTTTGTCTCCTGTTTATCCATTCCCCTGGCCAAGAACTTCAGAGGCTCTCCTCAGCTACAGAGCAAAGTCCTTGCTTCTTAGTTTAGGTGGCACACAAGACTCCTCATGATTTGGTCCCTGCCCTGCCATCCATTGTCTTCCAATGGGTACTCTGGGGATCTCAGTTCCCACACACAAAATTTGGAGATGGACATCCCACTGTTGGGTTTTGCGGTCCAGTGACAAGCTGGATTTGATGCTGCACTGGCAGAAACATCTCTCCTGAAACACTGAGGGTGCCCCAACATGAAAGCAGCACAAAAAGAGTCAGTTTGGTCTATTAAGCCAGAGAACAGATTCACAATGAGTCATAAGGACAAGAGGTTTAAGTTGCCAGAGAGTGAAGTCAACAGCTCAAGATAGGAACAGGGCACAGAAGGCAAACAAGCAAGTCTGAGGCCAGTTTGAGTGGACCCGGGCAGAGGGCTCCCGCTCACGCCTAGCTTTCCCGTCTATGTCCCACCGCTGCCCCTCACTGCCATAGGTCAGAAACATCATCCTATGATCAAAAGATGAACCTTTGGGGGCCAGCCCAGTGGGGTAGTGGTTAAGTTCGCATGCTCCGCTGCAGTGGCCCAGGTTCACAGGTTCGGATCCTGGGCGTGGACCTACGCACAGCTTATCAAGCCATGCTGTGCCAGGTGTCCCACATAAAATGGAGGAAGATGGGCACAGGTGTTAGCTTAGAGCTAATCTTCCTCAGCAAAAAGAGGAGGATTGGCAATGGATGTTAGCTCAGAGCCAGTCTTCCTCACCAAAAAAAAAAAAAAAAAAAGATGAGCCTTTGAACACACTGTTCTCTTTTCCTGGAAATCCTTGTCTCTATCACGCTTGTGTGGTGAACTCCTATTCATCCTAAACAGCTCAGCTAAGGTCTCACCTTGTCAAAGTCTCCGCTCCTTCTCTGGGCGATCTCTGTAATTTCTACAGACTTCTATTGGCAGACATATCACACTACTTTATAACAGTGTGGCTGTATGTCTGTGATCTCAGCTTGAACTCCTTGAGGGAAGGGCTTCTGTCTGAATCTGCAGGGTTCTGCTGTGCCCTCCATTCAGAGAATGAGTGTTAACTGTGATTGAATTGTAGTGTCTTTAAAATCCCCAGGTACTTCTATTCCCCGGGATGTTATGTAGGACTTGGGCTGCTTTTGTCAGATTCCCAGCAGGGCTATTTTAAGAATTAAGGTTTTAACATAAAGTGGTTTCTCCACAGAAAGTATTATTTTTTCAAAGTGTGCTAAGTTTTATTATTATTATTATTATTATTTGCCTTTCTTAATCTGCTTGTGATGTAAGAAATAAGAGTTGTGTGTTTCTACTTCTCTATGAAAATGATGGGATTTTGAATGTATACGTATGTAGGTTAACTACATCCTCTCTCTTGTAATTCTTCCTGAAGGATGGAAAAGGCAACCAATCTTCCAGATTTGCATTGTCTTAAAGAAAACCTTAAATGTTAATTTGGCCATGGTCATAGCAGGGGGCTAAAGGGGAGAACTTAGATTACCTGATGGGCTGATTTATTGCTCCTCTGACAGCTAGTGGAAGGTGAGAGCTGCCAAGCTGCCTTGGGTTCTCCAAGGGCGTCAGTCTCGGGGAGACAAAGAGACCAGACCAGAGATAAGCTAAAATAAGCACTGGATTGTTGACCACCCCTTTTCCTGAATTTTGTGTCCAAGGTCACCATCTGAGTCACCCAATATCAGTTACACTGGTAGACTTCCTCAGTTGGATGAAATGCCACTTATATTTGCTCCATTTTGCAATTTATATGGCTCCATCTTCATATTTACCATATTATGTTGAAATCATTCATCTATTCAAAAAAACACTGGAGGAGTAGTCAAGGGTGATTCCAAGGCACATAGTTTGAGCAACTAAGTGGGTGGTAGAAGCATCTTCTGGAGGAGAAGTTTTGGGAAAAGAGGCAGAATCATGAGTTCAATTTTAGATGCGTTGGAGTTGGGGTGTTAGAGGGGCATCTAGATGGAGATATCAACTGGAAAGTTCAGAGGAGAAGTCTGAGCAGGCGATAGAATTTGAAAGTTGTTGGAGTATAGGTGGTAACTGAAGCAAAAGGGATGGGCAGGATTGCCTTGGTGGCAGAATGTAGAAGGAGAAGAGGGTATGACTTTGCCTTGGGGCTCTCCCACATTTACAGGTTAGGTGGAAGAGGAGTGATTGGCCAAGAATAAGGAGAAAAGTCAGAGAGGTAGGAGGGAAACTAGGAGCGTGTGGTATCATGGAAACCAAGAGAAGGAGTGTTTCAAAAGAGAGAGTTGTCAAATTTGTAGAATGATTCTGAAAGGTGGTATGATATAAGGATATAAAGAGTACATTAGATTAAGCGATACAGAGATAATCTATGACTTTAACAAGAATTATATCCAAGGAATGGTTGAAACAGGAATTAGATTAGATAGCTTGTGGAGGGAATAGGGGCTGAGGAGTTGGAGAGAGAAACTATAGGCAACTCGGGCCAGAAGTTTGAGACTGAAGGGGAGGAGAGTGGTGGTAGCTAGAGAAGCATGTGGTTTCCAGAGGTTTTTGTTTTTGTTTTTGAGGGGGGTGGAGAGGGCAATTGGTTGGTTGGTTGATTTGTTTTTTGTTATGGTGAAAGCATGTGTTAAGTGCTGATGGGAAGGCTCTAGTAGAGAGGAAGAGATTGAAATAAAATCAGAAAGAGAGACAATAATTAGTATTCTTGAGGAAAACCTGAGGAGATAGAAAGCGGAGCACAGGTAGGATTGGCCTTTGTTGGAAGAGGAAGTTCCCATCCAGCAGCTTTCGTTTATCCATTGAAATAGTAGATAAGGTTATCAGCTGAGAATGAGAGAGTTGAAGATTTGAGAAGAATAGAATGGGTTCAAAAGAGATTTTGCAGAAATTCGGAGACCAAGCTGCCAGGTAGTTTTGACTGCCTGGTTGAGGTCACTGCCCATTACTCTGTAGTGGTACCAATTACCCCCAATGTGTTTTTCTCCAGTTGTTCTCAGCAGCCTAGGTGCAGACATGGAGAAGCAGATAGGTTCATCCATGGTTGAGATTTGCCAGAGAATTTGCAATAGAATAATTGAAATTATGGATCTTAGAATCTATCCATAATAGGAAAAAAATAGAAGGTAGAAAAGGGTGATGAATAGATAGGTGAATGGATTCATAAATGGATGGAGAAGTGTAGGGGCAAGTGAACTAGAAGTACCTAGTGGAAGAATAGTTGTAGTGGGGTACTTAACAAAGCAAGTTGAAAGAAAGGAAGGTTGTGAATGAGATCCTAGATGTTTGCATTATTTGATTCAGAGATGTGGTAGTTTCAAGTATTGACAAGTTCCACAGCATGTCAATGGATGGATGAGGCAGAATGCATAGTACATGGGCTTGCCAAAGGTGGACAAATTGGGCTTAGGTCATATTCCTCTGATGCAGAGAAATGTTTTTTTTCAAATTTCTACTCCCAAAACCTAGAATACTGTGAAACATCTGGAATAGTTTTTAAAAGTGTTTAACTCTTATTGAAAGTTTGATTGCTCAGTCTTTTTCTGATTCTGCATTCTACTTTGACGTTCACTGGAATAGTGAATAGTGCATTCACATAGACATTAAAGTTATCTAGGTTGATGGATGGAGTTGGAATGGAGAGAGAATAGGAGCGTGGTAACAAAATCATCATTGAAGGAGGAGGAGTGACTGGGAGGTCAGGTGAAGGCTGACACAAGGAATGGAGCACAAGTTTCAAGACGTGGAGGAATAACTAGAGAGTGAAGGAGTAGTGGCCTGAAAGTGTCAATGGGGAGGACACTGATCTGACTCTCAAATCTGGAGCTACGTGGAGTATAAAATGGCCCCCATTTGAGAGACTGACAAGTGAAGACTTGTTCCCAGAAGAGTGGCTGGATTCAGTTAAGACAGAGATGGACTGAATCTCCTGAGCAGAGTTTAAGGATAAAAGGGAAGGAAATTTCTTTTTCATGGAATGGCTGTTTCACTGTGCATGGCACGTGGGTTTGCCAAAGGTGGATGAATGGTGGCTTAGGTCATGGTCCTTCTGGTGCAGAGAAATGTTCTTTTCAAATTTCTACTCCACAAACCTAGAATACTGTGAAACACCTGGAAGAGTTTTTTAAAGAGTTTAACTCTTATAGAAAGTTTGATTGCTCAATCTTTTGCTGATTCTGCATTCTACTTTGACATTCTGAATACAACATTCTGAATCACTGTACAATAATCTAGATGCAGATCCAAAAGAGTATAAGAGATTCATTTGTACCTGTATTTTCATCCATACACATCTGGTGATTAGATCTTTGTTATGAGCTTGTCTTGGTATCATTTGCTTCTTTTTTTCCTAAAAGTAAAGCAGTAGAATGTGTTCCAGTTAATTTACTGTTTTGGTTAATTCAAGTGTGTTATACACAGGGGTTCACTCTCACAGTTCTAGGAAGGATCAGGATGTTTGATCTAGGTGCTGTCTGTCCGTTGGAGGTGACGGAGAGGACATAATCACAAAATCACATCCAAGCTTTTTAAAGCCGATTTTATCATTATAGAGGAAAAATGCTATATGTCCAGTTAATTCACTGTCATTAAGTAAAAAGTCTTTAGTAATTTCTCTTAGAAAATCTCATCTCTACAAACCTGATTTTTGCTTATAACACTAATAAATGAAATTTCAGAATCTGGCTCTAAAAATGCAAGTCTTTGCAATTAAGTAAAGCATCTAAGAAAGGAGTTGAAAGAATGTCTTCCTCACCTACAGCTCTGGAAGAGAAATGTGTTTTTTGCATTATAAACTTGATAAAGGAGTCCAATTTGATAAGGCATTAAATTGAGAACTTCTTCAAAATATCAATCTTGTTTTCCCAGGCAAAATGGAGATTTATGTGACTATTCATAACCATTTATCCCATTCTTTGTTAATGTATATCAGATCTTGGAAGTCTTGTTTGAACAAAGAGGTCTTATAAGATTATGAAGATTCTAGATACAAAAATAACCTCCAAAAGAAACCTGTAATTCTGATTGGTTGTCTTAGTTGATAATTTGTTTTTCTAGTAATAATGATGCAATTGACAACAGTATAACTAACTGTATAAATCTTTGTAAGATTTCTCTGTCAGATCAGATGAGTATGTTCCTCTTCTCCTACCTGCTTGACAGAATAATTGAAATCCTATGATTCTGCAAGCTTTCTTATTTAAAAAGCATTTATCAGTTCTCAGGTAGTAGCAAGTATTGAACTTACAACTCCCATTGAAAACAACCACAAAAGCTGAACAGAAAATAAAAGTACTTGTTTTCAGACATTGCATGGCAGACACTGCAGGGCTATGACCTCAAGAGAAAAAAAAAAATAGAAGAGATAAATTCCACATTTATCCTGGTTTTCTCTTTGAAGGTATTTTTCAAACTGCTCTACATGGAAAAAGAGCTCAAGCAGAGAGGGGAAGAAACAGAGATCAGAGTTAGGGGTTGCTAAGACTGCAGGGATCTGGATGGAGGGGAGAGTAACAAAGAGTAGAGAATTACTGAGAAGATATATACAATTTCTCTCAGATACTTCACCAATTCCAAAGTTGTGCAATGTTGGGGTGAGACTGTAGGAAGCCCAAGAAAAAACAGTTGCTAAGGGGCTGATAAATGAGCAGAAATATCAGAGCTCACACATTACTGGAGAAGCATATTGATACCTTGGTGAACACCCCCGGCTTTCAGTTGAGGCCTCTGAAAGATCTCACACTAGGGTAGGGACCACACCTAGGAGTAAGGGTAAAGATGAAATAGGTCTGCCCTAACAAAGCCTAAAGCCAAACCTTGACAGAATCAAGGTTATCCTCTAATAATTTAACATAACCCAGAATCGCTACAATCTATTACCTACAATGTTCAGCATACAATAAAAGTTACCAGGCATATGAAGAAATAGGCAAAGGAGACTGAAATCAAGAGAAAAATGGTCAATAGAAGCAGACTCAGAGATGATCATTATTGATATGTTAAAGAAAATAGAGGAAAGATGAACAAAATGGGTGACAAGATGAGGAATTTCAAAAAGAAAAAGAAAAAGTTCTTAAAAATCAAACAAAAAAGTCAATCAGGATGTGGGAAGGGAGAGGAAACCCAAGATGAAATGCAGACTCTGACAAATGAATTGAACTGGATTACAAGTTAATCACATAACCACACTGAAAAGATGAGAAAGAAAGGAGATGACCTAAGTAACTTTGGAAAACAGTGTTTTAACTGGATACCATAAGGCTAAAGACAAAAATAACTGTACACAAATGGTATGCTTTTGTTTATAAATTTGTTTCTCACAGATGTATAGATTAGCAACTCTAAAACTACTTCATATGTATACTAGGATTGAGTAAATAAGTAAATATGCTGTAGATAATGAGAATCAGGTTTCTTTCTATCAGACAATGAGGTTACAAATAAGGAAAAGAGGAATGCTAGAAAGAACCTTGTGGTACTGGACTGGAGTCAGAGATACAGAGATGAATATAGACATAAGTATATATACATTAGTTAACATACATATATTTCCTAGCTCTGTTCACCTATGGGACTTAGAAGTGACACCGAAGAATAAATGCTGCTCTCCTTTCCCTAGGCCCATTCACTCCAAATGTGAACATTAATTGTATAACTATATTTTCTTATTTTCTGCAGTCTTGATGCTCTGGTATGTGGGACCTTGCTGATCCTAGACAGATTGCACCTCCTAAGGCTAACTAATACCTAAAGACAGCAAAGGACTCCCCTGAGAATGTGCCTTTTATATGAAAACCAATCAATCCAGAGCCTAAACTAGCCAATTACCTTCTTTATCAAACTCTCACAGATCAAGCCAATATTCCTCTGTCCTAATCACACCAGGACCATGTGCCAGATAATTTAAGACAGCCCCTACACCACTGAGCCCACTGAAATTATTCAAACTAGCCCATCCTAAACCCACCTAGCCTGCTTACCCTGCCTTTCCCATTCCTCCCCACAAAAAAAAACAATAAAGGCTCTTGCCCATGCTTTCCCCTCACTCCTTCTGACTCCTGACTGACCCTGGTGCTTCCCCATGTGGCTCTGCATGGCCTGGTAATGTCCCTTCTCTTGGGAACTGTGAGTAACAAACTATCTTTTCAATGACAATCATCTCATAATCTCCTGGCCTCACCACACCTAAAAACAAAATCCCTCATACATTTTAAAACACATTGATCCCTTAACCACACAGAGCACAGCTAACACTAGGTTTTTACATCATGCGTTGGGGGTAACAGAAGCAACAAAAGCCAGAGTGGCCTGCATGGACAATAGAAGAGGTCACTCTTGGAGCCCACATGATGGAACCTAATCTTAGGGGCCCAGCCCAGCCCAGCCCAGCAGAGTTCCAGGTTGTGAAAGCAACTCCCATCCACAAGACTCTCCTGGCCTTCCAAGCTTTCCACATCCTGGCCCCCAGCTCTTTTGGCTGAGTGAGAGAAGGAGGCCCGCATTTTCCACCCAGGATGGCACATCATGGGAACACATAATCCTTTAAGTAGAAAACACTTTCTCAAACTCCAGGGTGACTTCTATGGCCCAGATAAGGCAATCATAATAGTTAATGCTATATTTTCCCAAAAGCTGAGTTCCTCAGCATTAAATAGCACCATGTGCAGAACCCCAAACTTCTAACCTAACTCCATATTTAGGAAAGAAAATATTTATCTACTTCATCCAGGGAGCAGTTCTGTTAAACCCACAACACATTCCTGTGACTACAAAGATCATGTAACAAGTTAATCAACTGCCTTACATTCAGATTTATGATGACTTCAGAGTTTTCTTTGAGGAAAAAAAAAAGAATGCTTTATATCTGCATATCTAAAGAACCCATTTTAGTAATTCTCCCAAAACCAAGTCTGCTGGGAAGTCGAAGTCTCCACCTCCAGAATGATAAAACAGACACCTTTAAACAGAAGTTTTTCCACTTACAAAGAAAATGAAAGTTCTTTCTTTACCAGGCACCTGTCAACATACTAAAGGTGGCCAGCGAGCCTGGAGTGGCAATTCAGGATAGCTCTTTATTGAACTATATCTGCTTGCAGCAGATGGTTTTGCTTAGAAAGGAATTATCACACTTATGAAGTGAATACCCATAGAGCAGTGGACATGAATCCAATACACACAAAGAATCTAGATGAAATACCTCGCTATACACCTATCAAGTTCATGTACACGTCATTGTAATTACCATTTATAATTAAAGGGCAACACATACACTTTTGGTGAATACTTGGGAATTATCTGTAAAAGCTCTGGACTTTTGATTTTTTGCATTTTCTTGCAATATTTTAGGTACTCATTTAAAATCCTGGTTACCATTAGATAAACAAGACCTTGAATTAGAAGTTCGTGCAATCAGATGCAAGTATAAATTTGGATATGTATGATCTAAAATGCAAGCATATTCCTTCCAAAACTGCATAATCTTGACCTAATCGTGAGAAAACATCAGACCCAACCCAAATTGAGGGACATTTAACAAAATAACGGCCCTATATTCTCCAAAATTTTCAAGGTCATGGAACAGAATGACTCTCCAGGTAGTGTTCCAGATTAAAGGGCACTAAAGAGATGTGACAACTAAAGGTGACACATGATCCTGGATTGACTCCTAGGACAGTTGATGAAATCTAGATGTCTGTAGATTAGATAATAGTATTTTCTCCATGTTCATTTTCTGATTTTGATCATGTCTGTAATTTATGTTACAGATAATATAATGTAATTATGATCATGTCTGTCTCAAATGCTCTGAAAAAAACAATATGTTGATGTGTAGACAGAGAGAGAAAGAACGATAAAGCAAATGTGGTAAAATGTCAATATTTGAGTAATCTGGATACATATGGAATTTTGTGCTGTTTGCAATTTTTCTGTAAGTCTGAAACAATTTTTTAAATCTATTCACCAGGGCATTCTCCTGCTATTCTAAACAAACATGAAGTGGTATGTTCATCAGGTATCTGCACACCTGACAGCAGCCTGTTTTCTCCCTCCCTGTTTTATTCACAAAGCATTAAAAATTCTTCTCCCCATTTTCTTCCTAGAACTCTGGCTAAGTTCATGACTTTATTCCCCTGACACAAAATCTTTTCTTTCCTTTTCCTATCAACCACAAAACCAAAAAAAAAACTATGATTTCTGAGATTCTGTACAAGACAAAGCATTAATGTCTTTCCATTTAAGGTTGCTAGTCTACAGGGAACAAAACTCTTACAAGATTGGGGCTTTGTTGTTTCATTAGTTTCCTCCACACATAAACCCAGCTGTAGGGAGGAAAGAAGTTGTTACTAGATAAGAAGAAAAACTCATTACCAAATCATGACATATAATAAAAGAAGAAACAGAAAAAGAAGTCAGTGGCGCTATTGATCTAGCTCCAGGAACATGGGCTTTAAACCTGAGAGAATCTGAGTTAAGATTCAGAGCCTCTCCTCAGGCTCAGGCAATTCCCAAACATCAGCCAGAACAATCCAGGAAGGACCTCTGCCCACATCAGAATGAGCTTGGTGTCCTTTGTTCTTGTTTTCTCCATCCCTTTATGTCCTCCCAACCTTGAGTGCTATTACGCACAGCAAGTTTCCCCTGGCATATAACGAAATGGCCCATACAAAAATGTGCACTTGCCACTAGAAGATGAAGGACAACATCAAGTAAGATGAAAACCAATGGAATCCCCTTACCTTCCAGTAGCAGATGTTGCATGAAACAGGTCCCACGTCTGTACCAGGTCCCTGGGTGTGTTGAGGCTGCTTCAATGCATGGAGAATATATAGGGAGAGATTATATATCCCAGTTTTTCATTATACAAGGTGTTTTTGATGGATTCTTAGGCAAGATCCACTTAAAAACAAAAGCTACACAAAGACTACAAAAAAGCCACACAAAGTTTAAACAAAAGGCTAAAGAAAGACCAAACAAAAGCCAAAGAAAGTTTAAACAAAGAGTGAAACAAAGACAAAACAAAGGCCAAAGAAAGACAGAAACAAAGACTGAAACAAAGGGCAAAAGAAAATCTAAACAAAAGCTAAGCTAAGCTACAACCATGTCTCACACACATATACCATATCCACACTATATCCCCACACACACTCACACATTTCAGTCCTCCTTCTCCCACATAATCAACACCCCATGCCAAACCCCTAACCAAGGGGGTCCACTCTACACCAACTCTACCCCACATCACACCGCCTGCCAGGTCCAACCACACCGCACACCAGCTCACCCCACCAAAGCACACACTGTTCCGCCAATGCACCACCCCACATCCCCCTTCCACACTACACCTCACCCCACATGCCACAAGCCAAACTTACCAGCTGTGAACAGAGTAGGAGTCACACTGACAAATTCCTATTTTAGGCTCCTGTTTCTATACTCTATGCAGATTAAAAAACCATCCACACTCTCCTCCCTAACACACCCATGTACACACACATACATACACACATGCCCCCAGGACTAACGTCTGCACATGCATACCCTCACACATTTAATTTTCAAGAGAACCTCAGTCTAGTTACAACTGAGACTGGATTTGGAAGATTCTAAGACAATTATCCTTTGCACTCAAATTTATGAAAACTTCCAAAAACCATCTTTTATGCTGGATGATTTCTGTAAATGATGAATCTCATTCAATTAACATGATAATATTGGTTTCAGTCTTAGACATTGGCACTTTCTTATAATTTTCCCAAAATTTGGAGGCCACGCTATTGAGTCCTACGACTCTTGTGCCTCTGTTCAATTTCATGGGTTTTATAACCCTGTGCTTCTGCTTAGTTTCATTTTATATGTGTAGAACCACACACTAAGGACTTGAAAGATGAAAGGACAATTTTGAAACTAATCCAACCAACAACAGCCTTGCCTCTTGAATTCCCGGAGCTCTCTGCATGACGGTGAAGTATAAATGCCAACATTGTCATCAAGTTTCCTTTTACGCTCTTGTCCCAGTGTATACAAAAAGGAATCATCCAGGGAACCTTGAAGAAGCAATCTAACCACACTGCAAACATCCAATAGAAATCTCATTGTACACCAACTTCATGGCTAATTAAACATTCTTTCTCTGAGTAACGAGTTATAAACGTATGCTGGTTGATTCACTCCTACTGTGAGGCCAGCACTTTGCTTCTCTTGCAGTAGATGTTCTTGAGGGATGGGGAACAGAGCAGGGTGGTTCAGAGCCTGGGCTCTGGAGGTCCTGAACACTGGATGGTCACTAAGTCAGTTAAGATGTGTCCACTGGTTGGAACAGTGCCTGGCACTGAGTTAGTGCTGCATCAATGGTAGCTATTGTGGTTCTGGCCCTAAAGAAGTGTGCAAAACAGGGGTGGGCATCAGTTGTAAGAACACACTTCCTATTCAGAAAACAACTGGAGATGAATTCAGGCTATTTAAAAACTGCAAGATAGGGGCCGGCCCAGTGGCATAGTGGTTACTTTCGTGTGCTCTGCTTTGGCGGTCCAGGGTTCATAGGTTCGGATCCCGGGCACAGACCTCCACACTGCTTATCAAGCCATACTGTGGCAAGCATCCTACATAAAAAGTAGAGGAAAATGGGCACGGATGTTAGCCCAGGGCCAATCTTCCTCAGCAAAAGAGGAGGATTGGCAACAGATGTTAGCGCAGGGCTAATCTTCCTCACCAAAAAAACCCAGAAAACCTGCAAGATAGAGTGGGTAGATTATAATGTTTCCATCTTTATTAAAGGACTCCTCTGCTTCTCAAACCTTTACAACAAAGGTCCTTCGTGGCAAATTTTTGTGAAGTCCCATCTTTGATCTACTCCATAATATATGGAGTGATATACAATTTATGCAACCAAAGTATGGAGGTCCCACAGAACACTCATTATGCCATCTCTCTTTACTGCTATTTAAATTTTGATGTTTGCCCGTCATGCAGTGGTGTTATTAGTCCAAGCAAGACAACTTAGGAGACCACATTTGGGTCAGTGACACTGCTCTGAGTGGTAGCTTTGTGTTCCACAGAGAGTAAGACCTCCCAGGACTCCAAATGGACTCATGGCCAACATTAAGTAACTTGCTAACATTACAGAGGATTTCTCCACAGAAACTTTGGCTGCAACTGACAATCCCCACATGTTATGGGTTGACTTGTATCCGCTCCAAATTCATGTGTTGCAGATCTAACCTCCAGTACCTCAGAATGTGACCTTTTTTGGAGATGGGGTTTTTAGAGAGGTAATCAAGTGAAAAAGAGGTCATTAGGGTGGGCCACTGATGTCCTTATAAAAAAGGGGAGATTTGGACACAGAGACATGTATAGAGGGGAGACAATGTGAAGACAGGGGGAGAAGACAGTCATCTACAAGCCAAGGAGAGAGATCTGGAACAGATCCTTCTCTCCAGCCCTCAGAGGGAACCAACCCTGCTGACAGCTTGATCTCAGACTTCTAGCCTTGAGAGCTGCGAGACAATAAATTTCTGTTGTTTAAGCCACCCAGTGATACTATGTGGTACTATGTTATGGCAGCCCTAGCAAAATAATACACTACAGTTCCTAAAAGTACTATTTTAATTAGCTTTTATATTTATCAAAATAATACTTGTACAAAGTTATAATAGAATTAAAAGGCTTAGGTTGAAAGACAATAGCCTCTTTTGCCACCTCACCTCACCCCATAATCCCACTCTTCAGAGGCAACCATGTTTAACTTTTTTTTCAGCTATTTTTTCTATATTTATTTCCATATTGCTAAATAATTCACACAAACAGCCATTTATATATTCATTGTAGGCTATTGGCTTCCTATTGAGGGTTTAGTTTTCTTACGTTCTACTCTATCCTGTACCTTTTCCTTCACTCGCTGAATGTATTTATATCATTCAGTATTGATGTGAGTATAAATATGTAAATATTATTCCTACAGAACCTTGTGATCAACTACGATTGTTTCCTTTCTTTGTATAACTTTGTTTTTTCTGGAGTTAATAATTGTCCTGTTTCTGTTTTCATTTATGTGTTTTAATTTGCTTAGATTTTTATTTACTTATCACTCATTTTTTCCAAATATTCCAACAGATCTGTCAAATATCTAGTGATAATTTTTCAAGCATTCCAGTACATCAAATAATCATTTACTTCTATTGTCTTCTGTAATCCTCTGTTCTCTTGCTCTGTTTTTAGACTGGTTGCTCTCTAAGACTGGTGTAGGACTGGAGCTTCCCTTTATTGCTTTGCTATAATGAGTCACCTGTGTCCTGGATCGCATGTCATTCTCGTTTTTGGTTTGTTCTCTCATTTTCTGAAGCACGCCCTCTAGTACTTTCCTTAAAAAGGGTGTACATTAAGCGAATTATCTTTTGAGTGCTTGCATACCTGAAAACTGCTTTATTCTACCCTCAAATTTGATTGCCTGTTTCGCTGGGTATAGAATTCTAGGTTGAAAATTATTTTACTTCAGAATTATGGATGCATTGTCTTTCCATATTTTTTCCTCCAATGCTGTGGTTGAGAAGTTCTAGAACTATCAGATCCTCATTCCTTTGTGATTATTATTTTTATTATTTTTTTTTTGCTGAGAAAGATTCACCCTGAGCTAACATCTGTTACCAATCTTCCTTTGTTTTTGCTTGAGGTAGATTAGCCCTGAGCTAATATCTGTGCCACTCTTCCTCCATTTTGTATGTGGGTCGCCACCACAGCATGGCTGACAAGTGGTATAGGTCTGCACCCAGGATCCAAACCCGCGAACCTGGGACCCCCGAAGTTGAGCATGCCGAACTTAATCACAATGCCGTAGGTCCAGCCCCGAGGGATTATTTTTTTAATCTCTGAAAATGTTCAAGATCTTATTTTAACCCAATTGTCCAGAAACTTCCCCGTACTATGCTTCAACGTCTTTTTTTTTATCCATACTTGGTGGACCGTTTTCTTTTTTTTTAATAATTATTTCTTTTTTCTTATTTCACTGCTTTTTAATAATTTTATTTATTTTTCCCCCAAAGCCCCATAGATAGTTGTATGTCATAGCTGCACATCCTTCTAGTTGCTGTACGTGGGACACAGCCTCAGCAGGGCCGGAGAAGCAGTGCGTCAGTGCGCGCCTGGGATCTGAACCTGGGCCGCGAGTAGTGGAGCACACGCACTTAACCGCTAAGCCATGGGGCCGGCCCAGTGGACCATTTTAATCTAGAAATTTATAAAATTCTATTCTGTAATTTTTCTTTTTGTTGTTTTTATTAATTGATTCCCCTCCATTTTCTTTCCTCTTTTTGGAATTTCTGTTAGTTGGTTGTTGAAAACTAATGACAGAAAACTAAATTGATCCTCTAAATTGTTCCTCATTCTTCTCTTTCCTAGTTTCCAATTCTTTGACTTTTTGTTTTACCTTGCATAAATTTTTCTTATTTTATTCATTATATACTTTTATTGAATTTTATATTTTACTTTGGTAATCATACTTTAAAATTCTAAGACCTCCTTTTTGTTTGTTGACTTTCTCTTTTTCAAAGCATATAGTATTTCTCTAAACTCTAGGAAAATAGTAATTATACTATGTTGGGAGGTGTTTGCTATTCTTTCGTTTTGTTTGTTTGCTTTTTTGTCAGCTTTGTTCCTTGTGTTGTGTTGGCTTGTTTACTCCAGGTTCTTTCATCCTGGTTTGTTTTCACCTGTCCTCTTCTTGTTGAAAGCTTTCCCCTTTGCTGGTGATCTTTCACTGTCCCTTGCTGTAAAATAGTTAGGCGTTCAAGAGGTGACTGGATGCCCCAAGCACAAGCACAGGGCTTGCTGAGGAGTGGTGTAATGGGCAGCCATG